CTACACTTGGACAACAAATAAAGCTGCCATTTATAGAGTAAATAAATAGTAAGTTACCATAGCTTGTACTCACTCAGTCTCTGATCTGATGGCCATTTGCCTAGGGGACAACAAGAAGATGGGGTCTCTCACTCTGCCTGGCTGTGGCCCAGCACTGACTGAACTATTCTTATGTGAGTCCATTAAAGCAGTAGCTCAAAGTCTCAGAACCAGCATCTACTGGGACCATTAGACCTGGGATTACCTTTTATTTCAGTGCTCCAGTGGATGTGTGGGGCTGCCAGGTCCAGGGCAGCCTTTTGGTTCCACTATGCTGGACATGCCTAAACATCTGTTTTGCTGACTGACCATTTTTTATTGCTATTTTAGTGAAAGTTTACAAATAAATTGGATTTTCCCCCATTTAACCTTTCATACTTATTTTTCCTTGTAACATTAATTATGATTCCCACAATGTAATCACATGCTTCTCACTTCCTCCTTGTAATTTTCATTTCCATTAATTTTTTTCTTCTATCCCTTCCTTCTTTCTAGACTTTTCCTTTCAGCAGATGCTGCTCTTTTAACTTTCTATGGTTGGTTATTCCAAGAAATGAATGCCTCTCTGATGTTATTATTCGCCTTATCAGCGTGTCTACTGTTTGGCTGAGAATTGAGCTATAGATGTGTTTTGTTGCAGGTTTATGAATGACTGAGAACCATAATCTAATTCCACGTGCCATTATCAGACAAGTAAGCTTGGCCTATTTTATGGTTTTGAGTTTTGCTCATAATTTCCCCCTACTCCATCCAACTATTTTTTCAATAATCCCTTTGAGAGTAATCTGCAGTGATAGTAGATAGAGTACCATCTAGTTTTTCTGGCCTCCGAGCTGTTGAAGTTGAGGTTTGAATGCTCTATTTGTTCTTTGTACAAATTGTGTCAAAATATTTTTGCTTTTCTTCCCTCTTTTTTGTCTGGAGAGTGAACTATCAATAACTATTAGATGGCTACTCATAATTGTTTCAAACTCCAGTTGTTACTCACCAAAGCCAGATGTAGGAAAACTGTCCTTACGAAATAAGTTGTTCCAGTAATCCAGATGTTCTCCAAGAGTAAAGATAAACAAATTTTGTTCTCACGGTATTTTGTTATGATCAAGGACTTTATATATTTTTCCCCCAGTTGGCTCTGTTATAAATATAGATATATGTATACCCAATGTCAATCTGGTAATATGGTCTTCAAACAGACACATGGCTATGAGTATACTCCTTTTCACATGCTATGTCTGTTTATCTTGTCCCTTTGCCTATATATCCACTTTGGATTAATGCTTTTTATTGCTAGATTATGTCTCTAACAGTGTGTACTTTTGTTGGTTGTATTTCTTGTGTACTTCTCCTTGTCTTTTCCTTTTCTAATGTACCATATTAATGAAACCTTTATTTTATTTTTTCTTTCTATTTACCTATCTTATTAAGTATTAATTATCTATTACTCACCTCTCTCAACTCTCATTTCTGGTAATCATCTAAAAGTTCTTTCTCTGCGTTATCATTTCTTTAATTATTTCTAATAGTGGATTCACACCATATTTGACCTTCTGTGACTGACTTACTCCGCTGAACATAATTTCATCTAGAGTCATTCTTGTGATACAGTGTTTCATAAATTCTTTCTCATTCATTAATAATGCATTAGTAAATTGTAATTACTATGATATTTGATTTTGTATTATTATATATGTAATTACAGGTATATGATTACATATGTATAACTTCATGTATATGTGTGTGTATCTATCTATCTATCTATCTATATATATATATACATGTATGTCTATAAATGGCAGCATATTTTGTATCTTAGTAGAACCAAAAAATAATGGTATTCATCTATAGAAATCACCATATATGGGCACATACATAGCTGTTCTTTGTTGTTGTCAAGTCAATTCTGATCATATAAGCATAGTTGAGTTTCTCCTAGGGTTTCCACAGCTATTACCTTTTGAAAGTAGTTCATCAGTACTTTGTTCATATACGTAAATTCATGTTGAGAGCCTATCCTTTTTATGCTCTAACAATTGTTTCTCTCTCCAGGTACCAGTTCTGCATGAATACAATTAAATGTTCTGAAATTCTGTTTTGGTTTTTTTTTGCATTATCTATAATTTATCATGATCCACATAGTAAAATGACTTTATATAAGCAATAAAAATAGCTAAACTTCTTTCTGGTATTTTCCGCTTTTAGGTCAAGATCTATCTAACGTGTATGACGTAATCTTTGGTACCGCATTACTTCTGAATCCAATTTCAATTTCTGAAAGTTCTCTGTCAATGTACTTGCTCACCTAATTTTTCAATTCTTCAGCAAAAATTTTTTGTTGTAATATTATTGGCAATACTCTATAATTTCTGCATTCTGTTGGATGATTTTATTTTGTAATTGATAGAAACACACGTCTCTTCCAATTAGTTGATCTGAACAGTAGCCATCCTCCAAATATCCTGACATAAACAAATGGTCATGTCCAGAGTTGTAGCTGTTTATTGAAACACTTCAACTGCTATTTTATCAATTTCTGGGGTTTTGTTTTTCACTATTGCCTTTGGTGCACCTTGAAACCCTATATTTCTTTCTTCTTCTTTTGATATTTTGCCACTCAATATTTTGTCTTTAGACTCTTTCAGGATTGCTATTCAAGGTTTTCCTATTCCTTCAGTATAAAAAAAGATGGTAAATATGTTCTGAATGTTTGGTTTTCTGACTCCAGATTTTCACACATTTCATAGTGTTTTGCTTTTCCCCTTCAGAAGCACTTAGACATTTTCTGTCAAGATTTCTTAATTTATTATAAGACCATCACCCAAACAGAAGGTCCTTTCTCTCATCAGCAAGAATGACAGAGTAAAAGATGAACTTTTCATAGAAAAGAAGACATTTATTCTAATAGAAAGTTTCTCTCAAGAGACAAAAAAAGGCCCTAAGGAAACACAGATCATGTCTTTCCAATGAAAAGTTGGAGCTAGGTGGACTAATCCATAGGGAGTTGGGTTGCTAACCCAAAGGCAATGCCTATCTGCCAGTTCAAATGTGGCAGTGGCGCTCCTCCCATGTAATTCACAGTTCCAAAAACTCATTGGATGGTCAACTATGAGTTAGTTTTGCCTCCAGAGGAATGAGAAAGTTACACTGTTTGGTATGATAATAAGGATAAGACACTGGTGTAGCTGGCAACTTTTTAACAAGAGAGATGCTTTGGTAATCATGTATGCACAGATATTTTTCAGTGCTAAGGTGTCTAAGATACCAGGAGTTACTTGTTATGGCAAGTACTGCTTTAAATTGGCTCTATTCCCAGGTGTTTCAAGGTTTGTGGTCACAATTGTCCTTGTTCCATTACACCCCATCTATCTTAGCTTTCTACTTTCTTCTATTTGCATTAGCTTCTCTGCAATCTAGATAGATCTGCTTTAGCGTTTTGGTTTTTTCCCCTGTCTTTTCAATGACCTTTTATTTCCTGTATATATGATATCTTTGATGTCATCCAAAAACTCATCTAGTCTTTAATTATTGATGTTGTTATCATTTAGTAGCCTAGAACTGAAAAACAAACAGATCTCTTTCTTTTCTAGAGGATTATTGTTTTTTTAATTCTTCCTGAATGTTGTTGTTGTTTTTGGTTGCCTTTGAGTCCAGCACAACTCATAGTGACCCTATGAACAAAAGGCCTGAAGCCCCTCTATAACTATCAACATTTATCAAAGTTCATAGTTTATGAAGGCATTTAATTTAGAAATTTGATGCCACTCCTGTTTCTAAACCTGTCTTAAACTGGGAGCTCCACCAAACACTGTCCACCATAGATAATTGTTATGGTATTTGGCATCCAATGGCACAAGGTTCAGCATCACAGTAACCCTAGGTTACCTCAGTACAGCATATTTTCAGAAGAATGCAGTAGCCGTAAGAAAAATGTTCCTCCAAAATATAATATCAAACAACTTTAAATACAAAGGCCTGTTCCTAGGTCTTGTTGACTCTAAATGGTATGCTATTGTTGTTGTGTACCATTGACTCACCTGTGATGTATAGCAACCCTATGTACAACAGTTCTGAAACCTTCCCTGCCCTGAGCCAATCTCACTAATTCTGACACACCAACCCCCATTGCCCCAGATACTCTTATTCGGGGTCTTCCCCTCCCACCCTATCTGTCCACCCTTCTGAGCTTGATGTTCTCCTCCAACAACTGGTCTCTCCTGGCCATGTGCCCAAAGTATGTGAGGCAGTGTTTCAAAATCCTAGCCTCCAAGGAGAGACTTGGTTTCATCCTCTCCAAGACATATCAATGTGTTTACTTGGCAGTCCTTGGTATGTTCAAGACTCTTCTCCTGCCCCACAACTCAAAGGCATCAATTTTCTTCTGTCATCCCTAGTCATTGACCATCTCTACAAAGCATAACAAGTAATTGAGAAGCACAGAAGCCTAGATTAGGCGCACCTTTGTGTCTAGACTGACATTGTTGCTCTTCAGCACACTGGAGAGGTCCATGACAGCAGATTTTCCCAATGCAATTAATCTTTTGATTTCCTGACTGCTGGTGTTAAAAGTGTAGATTGTGCGGTTCAAATCCACCAGATGCTCTGCTGGAGAAGGAGGGGGCAATCTCCTCCTGTACCGGTCAGATCTGATTTGACCGTACACATAAAGATAATACAATAAAGATTTTTTAAAAAAGTGTAGATTGTGTATCCGAGCAAGCTGTAATTGTTAACAAGCTTCCTGTATATATAAGGAAAATTTTCTTTTCAATTGTTAATTTTTGCTGTTTCTAGTTTAAATATATATATAAAATTTATTATTAATTTCAATGAAAATTTTCGGAGACTTTGGATGAAATATATCTTTTTAAATTCTTGTTTGGCTTCTTTGAATATTTTTCTTTCCCTTATAATTAACAATTGTGATTTCATGGAATCTGACACATTTCTGTTCTTGCCTTCTATAGGTGGAATGTCACCCTTATCTTAATCAGAGCAAACTACTGGAATTCTGCAAGTTGAAAGATATAGTGCTGGTTGCCTACAGTGCCCTGGGATCTCAACGAATCGTGGGAATGTAATGACAAATATCTAAGAGTATTTACCTAAAGCATCATTGTTGAGGAAATACACACCTTATTAAAAACTGAGACACAAGACATAAGCTTAAGACATGATTTTGACTTTCAAATATATTAACATCTTTCAAGTAATCTCCTCCATAAGCTTTACTTATTTTCTAAAAAGCAAGAAAACAATGCATAACTTCTGAGATTATAGAGGTCTCTGTTGTCAGAGTCCAGAGCAGGTTTCACTGCTAACACAAAACCTGTGCTTCTCTGGTGGTTTACATCCACTAGCAGTTCTGAAGAAGAAAGAGAGGCATTTTTCTCCTTTGAAATTTACAGTTTTAGAAAAGAGGTTTACTTATGAGTTGGAACCAGCTCTACAACAAAAAGTTGAATTTTTAAGGAAAGTGAGAAACAATTGTCTGAAAATCTTTTGTAATATTCTGTACCAATATTACACTTGATTTTTAAGGATGAGAATGAAGACTTCTTATTTGAGGCCCAATTTATTTTCAATAATACCTTAGAAAAAATTATGTCTCTCATTTCTCACTTTCATATTTCTTCTGGGTATATAATTAAAAGGAAAATCAGATACTGAAAATTAAGGTGGGAAAACCAAGGTATTATAATACCCTAGGATTATTGATTGCAAACTCAACTCATTGCTGTCCATTTGATTCTAACTGGTAGTGGGAAAAGAGTTGCACTGCCAACTCAAAGGTAGGTGGTTCCAATACACAAGCTGTTCCTGGGAGGAAAATGAACAATCCTTCCCTGGGAAATCTCTCCCTGGGAATTTACACTGAAAACCTGTTTATGGTTAGATATGAGTAGATTCCTACTTGATAATACTGAGAAATACATAGCAGCCATACAGGACAGAACAAATCTACCACATAGAGTTCTACTTGCTCCTTCTTCCAAACGCAAGACAATGTCAAAACAACTTGAACTCTTTTCTGAAACAGAGAATGCTAGGCCTTTAACCCTCAATTCAATACCTCTGAGAGAAGCCTTATAATTCGCATTTCTAACAATGGTTTCAGTGATACAGACGATAATGCTCTAAAGACCACAGTGAGAATCACTGCTCTAGAAGAGACCACCTTAGCTTTAGAAGCCTCTTGAAAAATTGAAAACTCATCACTTCTTCATTCCTTCCAGTGTGGACCAGAACTCCCCTGTTCTCTTGGATGACCCAGTTCTCTGTGCCTTGGCCAAAAAGTACAAACGAACCCCAGCGCTGATTGCGCTTCGCTACCAGATACAGCGTGGAGTTGTGGTTCTGGCCAAGAGTTACAATGAGAAGAGGATCAAAGAGAACATGCAGGTGATGAACAGGGATGGGGAGGAGGTAGCTAAGGATTAACTTTTTTTTTATTAGCATGCATATACATTGTGTTTCATTCATGTATACAGTGTTGATTGTTCTTTGTTTTGTTTCACACTTTCCTTCATTGGTGTTTCATACAACCATTTGCATACACTGTGGACTATGCCCACCATTGCCCTGTATTTTCAGGTTCCATCCAGATCTTACCTATTTCCTTTAACCTCACCATCCATCCACCTTTTGTAGGCATTCTTCCTTAGAGGGTTCAGGAGTCTTTAGGGTTATGTTGATTTCCCTGGAATTTCTCATCCATATGCCAAGATATGCATTTATTAAGGTTTTCTCCTTGCACAACAAGAGGAGAAAATACATGACTGCATGGAAAAGGACAAGGCAAAAATCAGAGACTAAGACTGTAGCCTGAAATTTTATTTACTCTGTAACTATGGAATTTGTTAAGACTGACAGTGCAGGATTATACATGTAATGTTTAATGTAAGTATCTTCTTCATACTTGTCCATGTCCTCCATATCTCCAGTTATATTGTTTTGGCATTACTTTTCCATTATATTGATGTATCTGATATTGATATTATATATTACCTTTCCCATTACTTAAAAAAAAATAAAAGAAGAAGTATATAATTTGTTTTTGCACGTGACCATTGCGCCAGAACTGGCTCATAGCAAGCCATCAGCAGGTTTGCAGAGGCTGTTAATTACACTGAACTTGGTGGTAAGGAATTGTACTGCCAAGCCACATGTGCTTAGAATCTACCAGTTGCTTCATGGTAGGAAGATGGACAATATCCTCTGGTGTGGCTTACTGTCTCTGAAAACACAAATGGAATGTCAGATATAAGTCAGTTCTAACTCGAAATACATAACAACAGCAAATAACATGTGCAGGAGGTGGCCTATCTCTCTGCCCCTCAGCACCTAGTCAATTGCAATCAATTGCTTTCAGGTTGGCAGCACAACTCCCTATCCAGGCAGACATCAGAGCTTCCTAAGCTTGTCACTTAGTTACTGAATTTTCCTAACCTATCTCCTCTCTTTTGGAAAGAGGAGTGGCATCCACTTCCATAATAGCTTGCCTCCAGAAACCCTATGAACCTGGAGAGAGGATGAAAGGCACCCAAGCATCGAGGACTCTCCTTCATAGGGTCGCTATGAGTAGCCTGCGACTCGATGGCACTTAACAACAACAACAACAACAACAACAACGTGCCCCCTCTTACATCCCGGTAATCATCAAATAGTATTTCTTTTGGTGTACAAACTTTCTTTAGTTTTTTTATATTAGTGGACTCAAACTTTTGTTATTAACGTCTCTCAGCATAATATCCACCAAATTCATGCATGTTATATGTTGTCATTGTTGTTAAGTACCATCAAATCGTAGATGACTCAAAGTGACCCTATGAACGAAAGACCTAAACACTTGCATAACTTTCATCATTTCTTTAAGTTCATAGAATTTCCAGAGGCAAGCTATTTTGGAAGTGGATGTCACTCCTACTTCCAAGCTTGTTTTAATTGGGGAGCTCCATCAAACTCTGTCCACCATGGTTAGCCATTATCACATTTGACACATCAGTGTCACAGTGTTTAACATCACAGCAACCACAAGTTACCTCTGTACAGCAAATGGACAAACCAGTCCTATACCACTCAAAAGAATATTTAACCAAAAACAATTAAAACCAGTCCCGAGGGCTGCAAGCGTGAGGACCCAAAAAAATTTTTAAATAGGAGGCTGAATAAAATCAACTCACACCCAATGGCAAGTAGACATTTCCACCCTAATTCTCATCAGAACCATAAAATGTCTCTCAGCATAATACACACCAGATTCATCAATGTTATATAGTATTTAAGAAATTCTTTGTTTTTCACTGATATTCCATAATATTACAATGCATGTATGTATCATATATTGTTTGATCATCCTTTCATCTGTTAATTAACGCTGGTTGTTTCTATCTTTTGTCATTGTAAATAATTCTGCAATGAAGATAAATATGTAGATGTCCATTCTTGTTGCAGTTATTATTTCTTTAGACTATAGATAGTATTTCCGAAATGGCTTGCCTCTGGAAACTCTATGTACGAACAGTGCTCAGGCTGTTCGTTCATAGGGTCGCTATGAGTCGTCTACGACTCGACAGCATTAAACAACAAACAACATAGATAGTACTGGGATTGATGTATCAAATGGCATTTCTATTTTCAACTTCTTGAGAAAGCGTCAAACTGTTTTCCAGAGTGGTTGCACAGTTTTAAAGTTCCACCAATAGTGCAAGATAATTTATTCTATTCCCTCAACCTTTGCCAGCATTTGTTATATTTAGTCTTCTTGAACCTTGCTATTCTACCTGAAATGAGACAATATCTCATTTTTATTTTGATTTGCAAATTATCTTAAGAATTCCTTCAAGTGTTTCATGACCATCTGAATATTTAATTTGGCAAAGTGTCTTTGCATGTTTTCTGTCCATTTTAAAATTGGATTGTCTTTTCCTTGAAGAGTACTAGAATTTTTATAGATCTTAGAGATATTCAACTGTTGAGATCCCACCTAGTAAAGGATAAGAATAGTAAAGGATAGTTAAGGATAGTAAGGATCATTAAGGATAACATTGTGAAGAATAGAAATTCTAGAACATCTAATGTGGAAAATATACATAGACCAAGAAGCAGTTGTTGAAACCGAACAAGGGGATACTGCATTATTTAAAATCAGAAAAGGTGTCAAGTTTGTATTCTTATACCTTACCTATTAAACATGTCTTAATGGGGACATTATGAGTTGTTGTTGACTCAAAGGCACATAAAAACATCAAACAATAATGTTCATTAGGCACAATGAGTAGTAATTAAAGAAGCTGGACTATAATAGGAAGAAAAATGAGGCATTAAAATTGGAAGAAGACTCATCAACAATCTACATTATACAGATGGTACGACCTTACTTGCACAAAGTGGAGAAGACTTGAAGCATTCACTTAAGAAGGTCAAAAGCTTTAGCCTTCTCTTAATATGTGGTTTATCCATTTCCTAAATAACATGCTTCTGGAAACCCTATGAACTTTGATAAATGTCAATGGTTGTAAAGGGGCTCCACGCCTTTTGTTCATAGGGTCGCTATGAGTCGTGCTCGACTCAAAGGCAGTCAATAACAACATATCAGTGAAAAAGAAAATTAAGTTCTTCAACTGGACCATTTCATGATAAATATAGAAAATATCCAAGTTGTCAATTATTTCCTTTTACTTAGATCTACAGTCAATACCTGTAGTACAATAGCCAAAAATCAAAAGAACTATTGCACTGGCAGATATATATATATATATATATATATATATATTCTCTTTAAAGTGCTTAAGAGCATGTATGACAATATAAAGACCAAGGAATACCTGACCCAAGCCATAGTATTTTCAATGATTTTTTATGTATGTGAAAGTTGGATAAAGAATAAGGAAGGCAAATTGGAACTGATTGTTTTGGATTGTGATGTTGGCAAAGGTTTTGAATATACCATGGACTTCCAGAAGAACAAACAAAATCTATCTTGGAAGAAGGATAGCCATGGTCTCACTCTAGAGGCAAAGATGGTGAGCTTTTTATCTCCGGTAGTTTGGCCATGTTCCCAGGAGGGGATAGATAGTCTTTAGTAAAGGGTTTCATGATTGGAAATTGGAAGATCAGGGAAGAGGAGTGGATTGACACAGAGACAGCACCAATGGACTGATCATAATTGACCCAGTTTCACCTAACAACATTTGAGGGATAATTTTGCTGGTTTTGTCATTATTCTAGACATCATCCATTGCCTTCTTGCCAGCATAGTTTCTGCTGAGAATTCAAAATTAATCTTTTGGGACCTCTTTTGTTGCTAACTCTTCATTTTCATGAACTACTTTTGGTATATTTTCTTTGTCTTTCATTTCAGAAAGTTTATTAAGTCTCCAGCTATTACTGTGGAATGACATTTTTCACCTTTCAATTCTGTTAACATTTATGTATTTTTGTGTTCTTTCATTGAGTACGTGTTTATATAATTATTTCCTCTTTATGTGTTGACTCTTTAATCATGAAATAATGCCTTTCATTGTTCTTTATGCTAGTTTTTTTCTTTGAAACCTCTTGTGTCAGAAATTAAGAATGCCACTTCTGCTTTTGTGATACCTAAGTGAGGAAAAATGGAGTTGCTTTCATAGTTAAAAAAGTCATTGCTAGATCTGTCTTGAA